ACAGTGGCCCTTTGGTAGGCAATTTATTTACCTTGGATGCTGCAGCCTTATCGTTCATGGAAATGTTTATCCTAAATATTTAATAGCAGGACTGCATAAACTGAGGCTTCCTGGGGAAGAAGCCCAGTCGGGGCAGGCACTAACGTCTCTTCCCCTGGTACTGCAAAAGTTAAAGATACTTTCCCACTTCTCCCTAAGAATCACATCCTCAGCGCCTCAAAATCAGATATATTTTAATCTGGCCGGAGGCCTCCTCATCGCTTCCTGATGAGAAACGCAGGAGACCTAACAACAGCCCTTTTAAAAACAACATCCCCAATTCCACTAACTCGTTAAACAGAGAGAGCCTGAAAAGTGCCAACACTCCTATGAGAAAAGACGGGAGAGAGAGAGAGAGAGAGAGGGAGGAAAGAAAAAGCAGGTTATTTATAACGCCAGGCAGCATTAGGGTCTCTTCAGTCTCTCCTGCAAACTGGCTGCTGCTGGGAGGTCACTCCCCAAAAAACCTGCCGAGACCGTGACCTCCAAGCACAATATTTGATCTGGGATCTAGGGCGGGCACCAGCCTTTGCAAATCGGGAGACACACTCACATGCTGCTTGACACACGGGAGATCCCGGAGAAGAGCAGCGAGGCTTTGGAAAGGAGGCTCTTAGCTTGGTAAGTCCATCTCTATATTTATTATGATTTTTTTTTTTTTTTTTTTGGAAGCCTGATTTCCATACCCTTGCCTCGGCGGGCGGGCGGCTGCCACGCGAAGCACATGCCAGCGACACGGGTGGCACAGCTTGAAAGCCAGCACTCCCGAGCCTCCGCGGCGGAGAAGCCCTCTCCTGCTACCCACATCTCTTGCCCCTCTGGCAGCTCCTTGCCCACTTGGCTGGGAGCTGGACACCTACAGCCATCGACACCCAGGTGCGGGCAGTGCCTGCTCACTGCCCCCCTGCCCGGCACAGCTCTGCCCGTCCCGTCTGCCGGGCTGCAGGGGAAGGGGGAGCTGGTTTCATGCCTGGCACAGCAGCAATGGGCCAAGTCCATGGATGGTCACAGACTGGGAAGCCCCTTGCCCCAAAACCTGCTGCCTCTCGGGGTGAGGAGCTGACCCCATTAGCCCGGCAGCCTCCAGCACGGGAGCGTGGGCACCAGGAGATGACATGGATCTCATGGCCGGCACACTCAGCTCAGATCCCACCCCAAAACCAAGGCTGAAGCCCACTGGGGAGGGGAGAAGCAACCTTCAAATGAAGCAGGGGACAGCAGTGTCTGCTGAGAACAGGCTCTGGGGTTACCAGTATGTTGAAGGGGGGCACTAGAAAAGGTGGAGGGACCCCATGGACCGGTCCTGCCCCGCACAGAGGGGCCCCCAGCAGCTCTGCATGGGTGGAGAAGCCCCTGTGCAGGGCAGGGCGGCTCTGGTATTTCATCAGGCAGCGTGCCCTGGAGCAGGAGGGAGGAGAGGAAACTCCTCTGCGACTGCCAAGCTCCCCCATTGCACACAGCATCCCGGAGGACCACGTCTCATCTGTCCCTCAGCTGCACGAGCACGCGGAGGGGGAAGGAGGGAGAGAAGGAGAAAGCAAGGGAGCCATGCCTGCCTGCCACCATCTCAATCCCTCTTTTCTTCCAGCACGAGCAGCCTGCCAGGGTGCCTCGGTGGCAGGGCAGCCGCTGCCTCGGAGCAAACTGTGCCCTCTTTGTCTGCCAGGCGAGACATCCCCTCCTCGCTGCGGGGTGGGGACGCGGCGAGGTTTCATCGGGCGACCCCACGGCCATCCCCCTGGCACAGCGAGGAGGGACGCTGGCCCATGCTTGCACATTGCCCATGCCGCAGCTGCCGGAGCGGAGCTGGCAGCAATGCACCCACAGCCCCACAGCTCTGCGCTCCCAGCCACGTATATAGGAGCCAGCAGGCAGGAGCGACTCCTCTCCCGCTCCGAACAGCACGGCCCCGCGTGTTTCCTGGAGGCATTTCAAGCTGCCTCGCTCCAGGCCGCTCTGTGTCCTCCTTTAGCACCAAGACGAGGAGTCGGGATGAACGGCCGTAGCTGGAGTCCTCCTGCCACCAGCACCGTGGCGTGCCAGCACACTGCCCTGGGCACGGCACGGGGTGGCTGCGAAGCCCACGCCAAGCCAAGGGGCTCGGGACAGGTTTGCCTTGCTCTGAGCCCTCTGCCCTGCTCTCTTCTGGATGTCAGCCCTTGGTAGGCTGAATTTCACAAGCAGGGTCCAAGCACTAGGTCTGGTGATGCCTCCTTCTCTCCCTGGTCACACTGGCTTCGAGGGGCCAGCGGATGCTGCCCCTTTTCGTGTCGGGGCTGAGCTCAGGAAATCTAAGCTTGAAAGTGGTTTCATTTCAAAAATAAGCCAGAATTTGTTTCCCAGGATTTACATCAGTCCCGAGCAGCATGAGCATCCTGCGTTTCTGTGGGGGAAGGGAGAGCTGGATGAAACCCACAGCGAATCATGTCGCCAGCGAGTGTAGCATAAATATAGCTCCATTGAAATACGCCTTGAGCTCCATCAACCTGTTCTCACAGCTACCGCTCTCCTCTGCTTGGCCAGAGAGTGGCCAAGTCCTTTCTCCTCCCTCCCGCGCAGAGCCAGCGCAGGTGAATCCCGGGCTCCTCGGGGCAGAGCTGCATGACCTTACACAAATTCGGACCATGTGCCCATATCTCCATCCTCTACTCAGTTGTAACAGAAATACCCATATGTAAAGATTTTGCAAGCAAATATCCACTGGGATGGAGGTTTCTAGCAGGCCTGAGGTGAAAAGGGGGAAGATCAGGTAACTGCAAACAGGGGACACGTCTGCAGCCGCGTCTTTTTGGGTAGGATTCACTCGGGTCCCCTGGTTCTCCAGCTCTGCTGCCAAGTGTCACCAACCCCAGGCAGGGCTGCAACCACATCCAACCCCGCTGGATTCCCCAGCCACGGGGTGCAGCTCGCCTGCCTCTAGCCCTTACATCAGACCTGACACTGCTGATGGTTTCCCTCCCCATTTCTCCCCCCGCCAGGTCCCTCCAGCATCAGCACCATGCGTTGGGCCACCGTCCTGATCATCGCTGGGCTCTGCGGAGCCTCCCTGGGCCAGTACAATGAAGAAGAAGACATGGCTTGGTTACAGTACTACATGCGGCAGTCCCGTATGTCCTCCTATAACTACATGCCCTACTACGAGGATGAGAACACCCCTTACGTGTACTCTTACCTCCCAGCTCCAGACACGGAGGCAGAGCCCGGCCCTGAACCTCAGCAAGCCCCTTCCTGGCAATGTCCCCAAGAGTGCGATTGCCCCCCTAACTTCTCATCAGCCATGTACTGTGACACCCGTAACCTGAGGTACCTGCCCTTCGTGCCCTCCCGGATGAAATACGTCTACTTCCAGAACAACCAGATCACCGCCATCCAAGAGGGGGCTTTCGACAACGCCACGGAGCTGGAATGGCTCGCGCTGCACAACAACCAGATCACCAGTGAGAAGATGGGCAAGAGGGTCTTTGCCAAGCTCAAAAGCCTGGAGAGGTTGTACATGAACAACAACAACCTAACCAAGATGCCCAGCCCTTTGCCCCGGTCCCTGAGAGAGCTCCACTTGTCTTACAATCAGATCTCCAAGGTTCCCTCTAATGCTCTGGAGGGTCTGGAGAACCTCACAGCCCTGTACCTCAGCCACAACTACATTTTTGAGATGGGAGCATCTCTCAAAGGGCTCAAGTCCTTGATCCTTGCTGATCTGAGCTACAATCACCTCAGGAAAGTCCCTGATGGGCTCCCAATGGCCTTGGAACAGCTCTACCTAGAGTACAACTACATCAACGCCATCCCTGATGACTATTTCAAGGTCTCTCCCAAGTTGCTCTATGTACGGATGTCCCACAACAGCCTGACAAATCAAGGTCTCTCTACCAACACTTTCAACAGCAGCAGCATCCTCGAGCTGGACCTCTCTTACAACAGGCTCCAGAAGATCCCCCGGGTCAGCACCAACCTCGAGAACCTCTACCTTCAAGGGAACCAAATCAACGGTGAGCAGAAACACGTCAACCAAAGCGCGGTGGTGCAGGGGATGGTGGTGCAAGAGAGGGATGGGGAGATGGGGATGCAGAACCTGTGCCTCCCTGTGGGAGACTACCTGGGGTAATGGTTTGAGCAGGAAGCTGGAATCCGGGAGACTTCTAGGTGGCCCTGGGCAAGGCAGGAATGGTGCCCGTTGTGTCCCAACACACCTGGAGCCGAGAGGCTCCCAGCTCTGAACGCTCCCGTGTGATCCACGGAGCCATTGCAGTGGTTTTACTGAGCATTTATCAGAAGCCCGAGCATCTTCCAGTTAGAGACGCCAGACACCAGCTGTCGGTAGAAGTTGATGCACAACCTGGGGGAGGGGACTACGGCTTTAGTCCGGCATTGCACACAGGCTGAGGGGTCAGTGACAGAGTGGACAGAGGTGGGGAATCCCCACAGCCACGGTCACTGCCCGTGGGAACACACATCACCCTGGCCAGTGCTAATGCAGGGGACAGGGACATACCCTGCGGCGCCCGGCGGTCTGCAGCGCTCGGGGCCAGCTCAGCCCCTTTCTCCAGCCCCTTCTGCTCACCTCCCTCCCCACCTCACAGGGCACTGGCACAGCCCGGGCACAGCCCTTGGCCCCAAAGTCCCCCAAGGGTCGTGATCTGCAGCTGAGGGGCACATCCTTGCTGTGGAACGGGAGCTCTTCGTTATTAGAGCCATCAACGCAGCATCTTCTGCCAGGATTAAAATTCACTCCACTTAAAACACAAATAAATAAAAGGAACAGATTGTTCTGGGGCTGCTATTTATAAAAATAAGCTAGGGAAAAAAAACAAACCAAGAAATCTCCTGGAAAAATCCAGGCTTGGTCCTCTCACCTGCCAGGCCCCGAGGGCAGGACCCTCCCGGAGCGATGCTGGAGCCCCTGCGCAAGCCTGGGATGGGGACGGGGATGTGTCAGTGCAGCCATCAGCTGTTGCAGAGGAAACACACAACCCCGCACCGGGGAACCGACAGAAACACAAAAACAAGAACAGATTCCCAAATGTTTGCTTTCAAAATTTGTAGCTGTTAACGTCTGCCCACAAATGCCATGAAACCACCCCGGAGCCGTTCAGGCTTTACAGCAGTTTTTCCTTCAGCTGCAGGTTTTGCCGCTGACCTTTAAAGCATCCCCAGGAGCGAGGGGCTGCGGGTCCAAGCAGGCAGCACCCACCTCTCTGGGGGGGCGCATCCCACCCATGGGGCATCAGGGCCGGGGTCGTGCCCCTCAAGCAACACCAGGAGGTCCCCGCTTGCCTCCCCGCACACCCGCAGGGTTTGCAGCCTCCCCCAAGCCCCTGGCCTGGGGGCGCAGGGGTCCCCCAGCACCCCGCTGCCTTCCCCAGCAGCATCCCGGCCTGGAGCTTTGCTGCCCTCTAGTCGGTCGCTTCTCTCCCAAATCCTGCACAAAATTTTGGGGAGTTTGTTCCATCTCCTCCCTCCAAACCCAGCCCGGGCTGGCCCGGAGTTTCCCTGCCCGGGGCCGGCAGAAGCGGGTGGTGGGTGAACGGAGAGGGGATGTCTGCGGGCATGGGATGGGGACAGGGACGTCCTCCCTCCTGGACACGCTGCCTGGCTAGTCCCGCAGCGGCCAGGGGACTCGGGGGCCGGAGGCTGCAGCGTACGAAGCCTCACAAGGGAGGCTGCAAAGGCAATTCCCGATAAAAAGCAATGTTTCATCTGACTCCACCCGGCTTTTTCCTTACGAGCGCTCCAGCCAGGCTGGGCAAAGGCAGCAGAGGGCGGGCGCTGCCACCACTTCCAAACCCTGGAACAGGCACAAACTCACAGGCTCCTTCTGACTGCAGCTAGAAGCATCAGTTACTCTTTTAGCTTAAGAGCGGAGGGTCTCGACTCCACATTTGCAGGAATAATTGGTGATTTAGGGGTGTTTTCATTTTTTCCCTGCCCATCTTAACAAAAACCAGCTCTCAGAGGTCAGTACCCACAGACCCACCTCCAGAGCAGCCCCCCTTGACATTTCCCACATCGCTCCCCAAAGATCAGTCGCATCACGAAGGTTAGACAGAGCCGGGGCCAAAGCCAGTGCTCAGCTCTCCATCTCCTCTCCCCCCGCAGAGTTCTCCATCAGCAGCTTCTGCACCGTGGTGGACGTCATGAACTACTCCAGGCTCCAGGTCCTGCGGCTCGACGGGAACGAGATCAAGCGAAACGCGGTGCCCCCCGACGCCCCGCTGTGCCTGCGGCGTGCCACCATCATTGAGATCTAGCCTGGCCCCCTCCCCATCCTCAGGACTTGGCTCTCCCTTTCCTGGGGAGACACTCACTCCCATTTTAATGCAGCTTGACAGTTTCACTTGGCTTCTGCAATAGTGCAATAAGGGTACTCCAACACCAGCCCGTGCGGGTGGGCGGGATCCATTCATCCCCAAACGCTCCCTCTTCCCGGCTCTCCGGCCACGCAGGGTGGAACAGGTCCCAGCACAGTTCCCCCTCTGACCCCACCACAGCCACCCCCCCACAGCGCTGCACCCCCATTCACCTTCTCCCCCGGTTTGGCTGGGATGCAGCTGGGATGGGGAAGAGCTCATCCCACCTCCGAAACACGGCACTGAGCATCCGACCCCAGCGGGGAGGGCTTCAGGAGTGGGTCCTGCAGAACCAGCAGATTTAAAGTGACTCACCCTGGGCCGGGTGCCAGCGGTCACTGGGAGGAGCATCCAGGAGGTTGGGAGCTACACGAGTAAAGGGTTAAAGATTTCCCGGCTGCCAGCACCCCTCAGCCTAGGATGGGGTCATATCCACTCTCTCCCCTCCATTTGTCCCCCCTTCCATCAGCTTCCTGCTCCAGAGATAAAGGAGAGAAACCTTTCCTGCTGCTGCCGAGCGGCTGTCAGCTGCTGAGGTTAGAGAGAAACACCCTGAGAAACAGCCCGTTGGCGGGCCGTGGCTGAGGGGGGGCTCACATCTTCCTCCCAGACCACTGGTTCAGGGCAGGACCGGGGGGGGGGGCTGGGGCAGTTCCCGGTGCCGTCGCCTCCGGCTGCCTGGGGAGCCCCGGCACGTCCAGCTCCATCCCACCCACTGGCTCGGCTCCCAGCTCCCTCCCTGCCCAGGCAACCGGGGTCTCCCATTTTAAAAAAAAAAAAATTAAGAAAAAAAAACCTGCAGTGATGTGTGCATCCGCAGCACGTCTGAATTCGCCAAACACACCCAGCTTGGTTCCTTGGACGGTTTAGTTTGAGAACCAAAGGGGCAGCTGAGCTTTGGAGATGACCTGCAAAGCTGAAGAGGTCATCCAGACCCTCCGCGTTTAAACTGCATGCTAACACTATAGAAACAAAAACCCAAAAAAACCTGTACTATCACTGACGCATGAACTGTAGATATCATACCGACGAATAAAGCCCTTCCTGTAACTGCACCAAACGTGTCTGAGGAATCCCAAACGCAGAGACCGGGGTCTGAGCATCTGGGGCTGCTCCGAGCCGCTCTGAGCACTGTAACCTCCCCTCTTGCAGACCAGATCTTTCTGCAGACATAATCCGGGCTGGATTTGCCGTCTAGTGGTTGTACCAGACACGACATGTGCCTACGCTGCCTTCCCGGCACCGAGGAGCTGCCACTCCAGCACATCCCAGATGGGGTCCATGCAAGGACGTTTATAGGAGGAAAAAATACACATGGAAAAGCGTCAGTTGAGAGAGGGAAGGGATGGCGGTGCCACTGGCACAGTACTCCTAGTCGTTATTTTCCAGATGCTTTCATGTTCTCCAGTCTTCAGCCCTGCTTATTTTTAACAGCTAAGCTGGAGGATGCTTAAAAAAAAAAAATTCACATGGGCAGGATTTTTACAGATCGGGAGTTGCACCGAAAGTGCCATTTCCCAGCCTGCGAGCCTTTCCTCAGTACACCGGGGGCCCGCTTGGCTCTGGGTTGGTGCCAGCCGGGGAGGCAGAGCCTGCGGGTGCTCCGTGGGGTGCAGGAGGTGGGTTTCCCCGCTGGCCTTCCCCAAACAGACCTGGTCCCTGGCCCTGGCCAGGGGCAGCCCCCCAACTCCAGCCGAGGCTCTCACAGAAGCCAGGCAGGAGGAGAGGCAAGAAGACCCCGCTCCCTCCCCTCGGGACACCCCCTTCCCCATCCTCTCCTGTGTCCCAGGGCAGCAAAGGGACATGCACATCCGCATCGTGACCTCCCACAGCCAAACCCCATTCCTTGCAGAGACGCGAATCCTCCCGGAGGCACCAAGACCGGGGACCCCGAACCGAGGGGATCCCGCTGCACACCCAGCTGGCCGAGGAGCCCAGGGCTGTCACTAGATGTCGGCGTTGCCTGTCACATGTGGCCCTGTCCTGGCTGGCAGCATGGCCCTGGCTTTCCCTCCCCAAGGCCACGTCCCCAGAGAGCAGCACCCAGGTTCGGGAGCTGCCCTGCACCCAGGGGTGCCCACCACAGCCGGTACTTGCTTGGGCAAGGCTGGGCTGAGACACAGGGTGAAACCCAGCTCTGCCCAGGGAAAAAAAGGGCTCAGAGGGAAGCAAACCTGACCCTGCTTTTGAGATAGCGAGGGGCGAACGATGCTTGTGCTGGGCTCCCTCAAAGGCTGGCAGCAGAGGGGAGTGGGCTCTGCAGAGAGGGAGAGTGCCCCAAACCCCTGCGGACATGCAGCCAGTCGGCTCCAACCCAGGTGCCTGTTGGCATCTGGGACCAGCTCTGATCTTTCTGCCATCAGCCCGGAGGACAGGCGCCACAGCCCGTCCTCCTCCTCCTCCTCCTCCTCCTTCCCTGTGGCAGCATCCAGCAGGCCAGGCGGGAGGGGGACAGGGACAGGACTACAAGCACCCGAGCCCACGCCACGTCTCCATGCTCTTCAAAAGCAGCAGGGGAGGATGTTTGCAGGATCCACCTACAAGCCGGCCGAGCACCACGCTCCTCCTCGTGCTCGAGAGCTGCCCGGGCACCAGCACGCACTGCTCCTTGTTCCCACGTCAGGTTTTTTGCCTCAGAGCATCCGCACCCCTTCCCAAATCAACACCAGCCTGCAGGAGCCGAAGGGGATGGGGGTCCAGGGGGTCTTTGGAGGGAGGCCCCAGCCCATCACCTCGGAGGGGACCTAGCAGCAGGGTCTGGTAGCAGCAGAACAAAACCCTGGAGAAGCAGATACCCAATGCTGCTTCCAGCAGCTGCTTTCTCCACGCCGGGCGATTGCTGATTTACACCAGCTGGGGCACTGGCTCTGCGTCCCGCAGGGGTGGAGGTGAGGGGGCAGAGGGTCAGGGCAACCCACTGCCCTGCCATTCCCCCTCCCCAAAAAAAGGGGGAGGCCCCATTGGTCCTGAGCGAGCCCACGGGCGCCCAATCACCGCCTTGTTGTGGTGGGGATAGCAGGGATGGGGGCTTGGCCCCCCTCCTCATCCCCTTCCTCCTCCTCCTCCTGTTGCTGGGAGGAGGTGCGGGGTCTGGGGGGCCCCAGCAGGCTGTATCCCACCAGGAAGGAGGAGGAGGGGGGAGTGCAGGGCTTTGTCCAGATCCACAGAGAAGCATAAAGGAGGGGGAAACCCCAAACCAACCAAAAAGTAGCTCCCCAGCCCCCTTGGAGGTGTGCCCCGAGCACGGAGGCTTTGTGGGGCTGCTGCAGGACGTACCAGCAGCTGCAGCCCCCTCAAAGTCATATTTGGCCTGTGGGCTCCTCCCAAGGACTCTCTTTGGGTGGGATGCCAAAGACACCCTGCTGCTCCTGCCAGACCCGCTGCCACCCGCCATCACCCCGTGTCCGCAGAGGGGCTCAGGCCATGGGACAGGCAGGATTTCTCCAGAGCTCCCCTGAAAACTCCCAGATTTCGTCTCCGCTTCTTTCCAGCCTCTTCCCCCAGATTCTCTTCCCCTCCTTGCTTTTTTTCCCCCTTTGCAGCATCCATCAGCTCACGCGCTTCCCAGGCCGTTTGCAAACATCCCTTTAGGAGGATGTTTCCCTAGGAAGTGCAGGATTTGTGTTTAAAAACAATCCCTCAAAATATTTGCCTTTGGAGAAGTACACAAGAAAGCAGGGAGGCAGCAGGCGATGGGTTTGACCCTAATTTGGCTGGAGGAGTCCGGGGTGGGCAGAGCCACCCCCCAGTCAAGGGATGTGAGCTCCAGGCAGAGCACCGTCCCTGTGCTTCAAATTCGGCATGTGAGCATTTGCAGAGCCGGCGTGAGTCACGGCCCAGGGCAGTGTAACCCAGCGTCACGTCCTTCAGCGCTTCCCTTTGCTCAATTCTTCTCAGACTTAACCTAAAACCTTTACTGAGTGGAGGAGTTGCGAGGACAAAAGGATCGGTGGCCAGGTCACGGCTGCCACCGCCACGCCTGGCCATCTGCAGACGTGCTCGCAATGTGACGAGCAATAAAAGTTGATTATTAATAAGCTGCTTGGATCCGGCCGACGGCAGCTGCGACATTGCTGGGAAGAGATAAGAAAACTGCAGAGGCAGCGGGAAAAGACGCCGGGGAGGGGCCCGGCGCATCGCCGGCGGAGATCACCAGGACCCCTCGCCTCTCCAGCATCATTCAGGGACGAGCCGGGGTCCCATTTCACAGAGGAGCAGACTGAGGCTTGGAGGAACGGGGAGGGTCCTGCTCTCGCAGCTCCACATCAGGAGTAAAATGGAGACGGGATTTTGGGTCTCGGGATTTTGGGTCACTCCACCGGGCTCCAGGAGGACGCGTAGCTTGGGGGCTAGAGCAGCTTGTGGGGGTCAGTCCCCTCCAAGGGACCAAACACTTTGCGGGGACCACTGGGGAAAGGCAGTCCCGCTCCCCGCACGCCCCCAGCAGTGTTTGGACATGGGGGAGAGGGCCGGGCCGGAAATTCCCAATCTGTTCAGCTCCCATTCTTGCCTCCCCTTTTGTTTCACTCGCCATCTGTCCCGCAACCCCGCACGCCCCACGCTCCCACTGCACGTGCCGTAAATATCAAGACGGGCTTTGTCTCTGCTTCAAAAGGCGCCGTGGCCCCCGCGCCCCAGCCCTGCCGTGGCCCCCAGCCCTCCCCAGCAGCGGGGGGGTCTGGGTTTGGGGGGGACAGGCTCAGCGTCGCCCTTCTTCCTCCTCCTGCCCCAGCAGGTTTTCGGGTCAGCGCTAAGAGGGGGTGGGGTGCATTGGTCTGACACCGCAACCATCCATAGGATCCAGGAGCACGGCCTTGGGGCTGGAGCTGAACCCCCTCACCAAAGTCACTCCAAAGGGGAAAAGGAAGAAAAAGGGAAGCTCAGCCCCCTGCACGCTGGCGGAGCTCGGCACAGACCCCCGGCAGACTCTGCATCCCTGGACTAAGCAGGTCTGTGCCCCGAAACAGTGCCCCGGTCTGCGCTGACCGCCCGGAGGGGATTTTGCTGGGGCAGATCCCAGCCAGTTCCTCTGCAGTCCCCCCGCAGGGGCCAGGGGGGGAGCAACGAGCCCTCGCGCTTTAAGGGAGCACCATGGTCAGGGTGTCAGCCCCAATCCAGGCTTTTAACTCACAACAGAGCAGCAAACGAGTCAGCAAGGGCAGCTGCTCCGCTCCAGCCCCGTCCTTCCCCTTTTCTGTTTTATCCGGTGCTATAATAGAAATAAACTCCCTGGTAAAAGGGCATTGTCAGAGGGAAAATGGGCCTCGCCCTTCGTCTGGCAGCTGGGAACGCCGGGGACGCGCAGGGCTTAGGGATATTGTTGCCCGCAGCCGGTTCCCAGTAACACATTTCCCGGCGGTTTTCCAAAGGCGCAGGTGTTGCATTCACACGGGTGGTGTTGCATCCCCGCAGCAGCAACACTGAGAGCTGCCCCTTCCCCGCAGGGCCAGGTACTGCCGTGCCAGGCGCAGGGATACCCACAGGGACGAGTGGCCTTTGCAGAGGGGCCAGCGGCAGGTACCAACCCCGCGAGG